AAAAAAAAAAGAAAAAAAGAAAAACCTGGGGACCTAGTGTGAGAACCCAGAGACTTGTGAGAAGGGTCTGGGAAGGGGTCAGGAAAAGACATGTTAGAGAAATTAAGATGGAAAATAGCCTCCCAGCCTGCCCAACTGGGCTCCCTGGTCCTCCCGCAATGCAGCCCTAATTGAATTTTGCTGTTAACAATGGAAACACGTTGGCAGCAGCCTCTCTCTCTCTCTCTTTCTGATAAGCCAGTGACCTGAGGGAAATTGGGGTCAGGAGGAGGAGAAATGGGAAACAAACAGTCTTTTCTCACTCCCAGGGTGGGAGGAGGGTTGGTATCCTGCTTCTGGCTGTCAGAGGGGTCCAGACCTCTAGCACACCCTCTACACACCCAGGTCTCTGGGGCTGGAATTGGCACAAGGCAGGAGACTATGTCCATCCTGGGGAGGAGTCCCCCAGCCCACCCAATTTGGGCAGAGCAAATCCAAGATCCCTAGTCACTGGTCACCTCCCCTTTCAAAGTTTCTCCCTAACAGATGGGCACCCCCAACCCATCCCAGAGTGACCACAGAACTGCAGGCACATTTTAGATTCAGACAGCCCTGGTTGCCTCTCTCTTTATGCACAAGTGGTTACAACACTGCCCAAAAGAGGGAAAAGAGTAAGATAACAGCCTGCTGTGTGGGAAACCCTTACTATGTTCCCAAGGTCTATTATCATAATACATAATCACTGTAATTATATTGTTAATGACTTATTATATTATCATAAGTCAGGATCTACCTACTAACCCTCCAGAGAGGTGGACCAGAGCCTTCCTCGCCCTTCTTTACCCACATAGGCCCTCAGAAGCTCAGTCTACCCACCCACCCCCCGTTCTGTCTGGAGTCTTTGGAAGCCAAATCTTGTGGCCCAAAGCGCTGTTAGCAGCCACTTTAGGGATATTTCTGTAATGACTCCAGGGAATCAGGTCTCCAGCAACCAAGTCTAATTAATGAGAATTCTACAAAACCCCACTCCCAGCCTTTGGGAGATAGAAATTGCATGCCCCCTTTGGCTGCGTCAGAATTCTCTCCAGGCTGAAGGTTGTTCCCAAAGTCCACTGGTCTGCCAAGCTTAGAGAGAGTGGCCAAGGGTGGTGCAGGGATCCCAGACATTAGGGAGGCTCAGAGGGGCCCTGGGGCCCTGGCTACCCACCCCTCCCATCCCCAGGACTGCCAGCCATGGAAGTCCGCATCAATGTCTCAAGGCAGCAGGTGGAGAAGGTGTTTGGGCTGGAGGAATACTGGTGCCAGTGTGTGGCATGGAGCTCCTCGGGCACTACCAAGAGTCAGAAGGCCTATATCCGAATCGCCTGTGAGTACAGGCTGGGGCCCAAATGGGGTGGGCAGCCGAGGGTGTCATAATGGGTGGGGGGAGCAGGCTTTCTGTAAGAGGGGTCTGGTCAGAAGACCTCATAGCCCTGCCTAGATGGATAGAGGAAGTGCCTGTGGACACAACCCAGCTACCCCCTGTCCCCTGGGCACTTGTCACTTCCTTTAGTGCCAGGGGCCATGCCCCCTGCAGAGCTGGCCAGGCTGAGCTGGTGTGAGGTGCTGAGGTAGAAGGACAGTCTCATTCCTCTTCCAGATTTGCGCAAGAACTTTGAGCAGGAGCCACTGGCCAAGGAAGTGTCTCTGGAACAAGGCATCATACTACCCTGCCGCCCACCAGAGGGCATACCCCCAGCTGAGGTGAGGGGGAGTTTTAGGACCCACTCCACAGGTGGACAGGGCTCCCACATCTCAGGTCCTGCCTGCCCAGCCTCCAGGGTCCTCCCTTCACGGACCACTCCTCACTTTGGGCGGGGCCAAATGGGCTGGCAGTACAATGGCATGCTCCCTCCCCAGGTGGAGTGGCTCCGGAATGAGGACCTAGTGGACCCATCTCTGGACCCCAATGTGTACATCACACGGGAGCACAGCCTGGTGGTGCGACAGGCCCGCCTGGCTGACACAGCCAACTACACCTGCGTGGCCAAGAACATCGTGGCACGTCGCCGCAGCTCCTCTGCTGCTGTCATCGTTTATGGTGGGCCCCGGGCACGAGCAGGGTGGAGGGCACTCTGGTCATGGGGAGAGGCACTGAGATGCTATTGGCAGTGATGTGTGGCTGGTGGGGTGGAAAGAGGCCATGGGGCCAGGGCCTGATGGAACAGACCATGGCCTGACTGGGAAGGACAAGCACAGGGTTCACCATGGCTGTTGGGAGCCTGGGAACACATCTGGGCAAAGAGGTGGGACAGGTTGGTGGTCTTCTGTGGGCAGGGGGTACTGTGCAGAAGGAGATGAGGGGACAGGTGGGACGCCTAGGACAGGTGACAGACCACTCCCTGCTCCCGAGTCTCCAAGGTGGGAAGTAGATGCCAAGCAGTTTCAGGCCCCACCAGCAGCAGGCAGGGTGGGTGTGGGAGTGACCCTGTGAGAGGCTGGGGTCTGGGCTGCAGGAGCCTGTGAACTGCAGTCTGGCCTGGCTGCCCCAGCTCCCCAGGGGCCAGCAGGATGAACTCAGCCTCCCTCAGGGTTTCTCTCCCAGCTCAACCACCACCTACCATGTCCAGCTCATAGCTCCTCTGCCTTCACTCCCTGTCCCCTGGGCCAGTGTGGCTGAGGATGCCCCCGCTCCCTGACCCCAGTCCTTCTCTGTCCGGCCAGTGAACGGTGGGTGGTCGACGTGGACCGAGTGGTCCGTCTGCAGCGCCAGCTGTGGGCGCGGCTGGCAGAAACGGAGCCGAAGCTGCACCAACCCGGCGCCTCTCAACGGGGGCGCCTTCTGTGAGGGGCAGAATGTCCAGAAAACAGCCTGCGCCACCCTGTGCCCAGGTACCAGCGGCTGCTGCCTCCCGCATCGTTTCTCACCACGCCATCTCCGTGCCCTGGCTCCATCGTGCCCACCAGCCTGCCCCCCCATGGCTCCATCCCACCTGCCCGCCACACGGGGCCAAGCTCAGTCTGAGGCAGGAATCAGGGTGCGGTGTTTGGTTGGAGTCAGGGCTAGGTCTGTGTCCAGGCGTGGGGCCACAACAGTCTTAAGTCACAGAGTCTGAGGCACAGCCTGAGGACAGGGACTAAGGCTCAGCCTGGGGCTGCAGAAATCAGAAGGATCAATGTGTGACTAAGAGCCCTCACTGCTCCAGGGACAGAGATGGCCTCCCTGGTGTGAGGAAAGCCAAGCAGCCCCAGGCGTCATCCACGGCTCCCTGTCATTAGCATGCGTCATCAAGGCCAGTTGGACACCAGAGGGTGTGCATCGGTGGGCCTAACTCAGGTCCAAGCCAGCTCACCCTGCCTGGTCTGGGCAACCAACAGGGCCACACGCCCTGTCCCCTGGGCCAGGGCAGGCTCCACAGGCTAACTATGCTGTCTCTCTCTGCCTATATGTCTCTTGTCTAGTGGATGGCAGCTGGAGCTCGTGGAGCAAGTGGTCAGCCTGTGGGCTCGACTGCACCCACTGGCGGAGCCGCGAGTGCTCTGATCCAGCACCCCGCAACGGGGGTGAGGAGTGCCAGGGTGCTGACCTGGACACCCGCAACTGTACCAGCGACCTTTGTGTGCACAGTGAGTCCTCCACCCCAGGGCCCTCTTCTCTTTTCCAGGACTGACCCTGCCCTGCCCTTGGGGAGGTAATGGCCCATGCAGTCATTCTGTTGTCATTTAATTTTAAACTATTCCTACTTTAGCTTAACCAACTGCATTTTCCTATTTCTCTTCACTAACAATTCCCCTGCTACAGGCTGTACTTTCTCCAGGCTCAGGCCACTCAGGGATCTCCCTCATCCCTAACACACCTGCACAAGTGCTGGTATGCCCCACCACCTCCCATACCTCCAGATACTTGCACAACCCCAACACCTCCCCATAGCTTTATATCCTTCCCATTCCCAAGTGCACACATAAGTCCTATGGGGACACCCAGCTTGTGAGGCCTGTTAATTACAAGGCCATAACTAACAATTAAAGATCTCTGTTGGGATTTTTTTTTCTCGAGAACACACCCTCCCTCATTCTTTCAATTAAAAACCTAATTATCTCTGTCAATTCTTTTCTGATGGACATTTCTTCCATTATGCAAAACCCTTCTAAAATCAATAGATAGTCAGATAGTCAATCACTCCCTCCCTGTCCTGCCCCAGGCCTGAGGGAGGCTGACAAGGAAAAGGGCCAGCCAGTTGCTAAATTGTGGCTCCTGGCGGAGGGACTGACCTGGAAGCTTGCAGGAAGCAGATCCCTTACCTCAGGGGATCCCAAGAGTTTGCCCCAGCCCCAGATGTCCCAGTCCGCAGAGGAGCAGGTAGTACGCTCAGCATAGCCACCGGGCTGTGGAAAGTAGCTTTTCCTTCCTGGTTTGCTGGCAGCAGCCTCAGCAATCTCAAGCCTGGGAGTGAGGTGATTTTCTCAGAGCCACACAACAAAATAGTGCAAATGTAGGGCTGGGGTGCACAGGTGCTGATGGCATGCTTCCTGCCTCAAGCGTCTATAGCCAGCTGGTGCCAGTGCCCTAGGAGTAGAGACTCATCCTCCTGGGGTACAGACCATTGACCTCTCCTCCCTAGCCTCCTACACCCCTGCCTCTCTCAAGGCTACACTGTCTCCTGCAGCTGCATCTGGCCCCGAGGACGTGGCCCTCTACGTGGGCCTCATCGCTGTGGCTGTGTGCCTTGTCCTGCTGCTTCTAGTTCTCATCCTCGTGTATTGCCGGAAGAAGGAGGGGCTGGATTCCGATGTGGCCGACTCATCCATTCTCACCTCAGGCTTCCAGCCTGTCAGCATCAAGCCCAGCAAAGTGGGTAAGGAGCCCCTGCCCCTGTACTCGGTGCAAAAATCCACAACAAGGGCCGCCAGGACAAGGAAGCTCTCCAGGCCACTCCCTAAGTCTGTCTTTATCCTGCAGATAATCCTCATCTGCTCACCATTCAGCCAGACCTCAGCACCACCACCACCACCTACCAGGGCAGTCTGTGTCCCCGGCAGGATGGGCCCAGCCCCAAGTTCCAGCTTACCAATGGGCACCTGCTTAGTCCACTTGGTGGTGGCCGCCACACACTGCACCATAGCTCGCCCACCTCGGAGGCCGAGGACTTTGTCTCCCGCCTCTCCACCCAGAACTACTTCCGTTCCCTCCCCCGAGGCACCAGCAACATGGCCTATGGGACCTTCAACTTCCTCGGGGGCCGGCTGATGATCCCTAATACAGGTAGGAAGGACCCCCCACATACCCTAGGGAGCCCTGAGAGGCAATATTAGCTTCTGTTTTCCCTCGTAGTGGAGGATAGGACAGCCCAGAGTGTCCTCCAGCCTCTCTGAGTGGCCAAGCCTGACCAGCAATGAAAGGGGATAGAGTTTGGTAAGAATCCAGTCATGGCTGGCACTGGGACCCTGGCCAGAGCATTCTCTCTGCTGCTGCCTGTGGGCACATGAGTACTGTCCTCTCATTTCCACAGACTATTTGTATGTGCTAGGCTCTATGCTGGGCCCAGCCCAGAGGTAGGGCAAGACTGGCCTCACGGAGCTCATAGATGAGTGGAGAGACATCAGAGGACAAATACTGAATAGTGCAGGCCTGAGCAGAGGGCCTCTTGGAAACCCCACTGCTTCCATCCACCACTCCACAGAAACTCTCAGGTCCCTGAGATAACCTTGTTGGAGAATCCACAGATCCTTCCTGTGGACATCTTGCAAGAAGTTGTTGCCACCTCTGCTGTAGCTGGCCACTCCCACCCTGAAATCCTCCATTCCCTGAGCTTAGATGGCTCATGTGCCTGTGATTTTCTTACACCTCTCCAGCTGTTTCTGGGACCTATTCCCTAAACGTAGATTTTCCTCCAAGCTGCCTCCTGGTGCCCTTCTCCTGAAGCAATCTCGCCCACTCTGTGGCTTTAATCACTGAGTCTGTGCAGATACACTCCCACTCCTCTGTCCCCACCCCGTGGTTCTCCCGGGCAACAGAGCTGTACACCCAGCTGCCTCCTGGGCAGCTCCATCTGGATGTCTCACAACACCTTGGATTCCTGGTTCCTAAAACAGAATTGTCTCCCACCCTCCTCCAGAGCCAGGCTTTCCCCAGCTTATGGACTGTACCGTCTCATTGCTCAAGCCAGAAGCTGGGGGTCACCTTGACCTGCTCTCACTTGTCCCCTCACTGGCTTCAGTCACACAGCAAGTTTTGCATGTTCTCCCTCCTCAATAGCTCCTGCCTCCTACTCTTGCCATGACCTGCTCCCCTCTTCTGGCCCCGGTTACCATACTGGTTCCTGGCTCTATACTGTCACTGAATGATGCCAGAGTTGATAATGTCTCTCTTCTCCTGGCTCTATACTGTCACTGAATGATGCCAGAGTTGATAATGTCTCTCTTCTCCTTGAACCCCTTTCAGGGCTCCCTGCTGCCCCCTGCAAAGCCCACATGACAAGGCAAACAGGACCCGCCCCCTGTTGGCCAACTGCTGCACTTCTGTACTTGGCAGCCACCATGGACCCTCAGCCCCCCATACACACCACTGCCATTTGCACTCACAGCCCCTCCCACTGGCTTAGCTGCAACTTGTCCTTTGGGTCTTAGCCTGACAGCTCTTGCTTTCTGCACCTCCTGGCCCCCCTGTACAGGGGGTGATGATGACCTCCTCATGGGTCTATTTGGATGCCAGCATCTGTCCACTCTTACAAAGAGGTGGCAAACAGTGGTGCCCAATGGCACCTTGGTGGCCCTTGGTCCTTCATCCGCCGGACATGGTAGGCTAGCTGCTGCTTCTCCTCCATCCTCTACTGTAGTTTTCTTGTCCTCCCACTGGGCTGAGCGCTTCATGAGAATAGGATCCGTCCTTTTTGCTCTCCTTCCTGAGTGCTGGCAACATTTGTAGAATGAGTACATGAGTTCATGTACTTCCCTCATAGAAAGCATGTGTGTGAGGATGCCTGGGACTATCACCAGTGCTAGCAGTTCATACCCAGGGGCAGCGCAAGCTGGTGAAGGGAGCAGTAGCTATAAATCTGCAATTGACAGCTTCCCTCTCCTGGCTTAAGTTTCCTGTGAGATAGTGATGTTCTAGCCCAGCCCACCTCAGTTACCCACTCTGGAGAATATATATTTACTTTTGGGCTTTGGGGGGATGAAGTCATGACATTTCTCCCATTGTCTCTGTCCTGGGCTGGGAGGGCCCCTGATGTAAGGACTCCCTGTCTGGGGGGCAGGGCCACGGCTCACCACCCCTGGAGTGACTTCTCAGCCCCTGTCCTTGCCATGGCCTGCCCCACCACCCCCACTCACTTCCCTCTCAGCAGACACTGATACTGCTCCTGCAAAGTGCTGGGGCAGAGATGGAATCAGCCAGTCAGGAGGGTGTCTGTACAGTGGCTTCCAGGCCCAGGAGGGCTGCAAGACCCAGCCCCACCTGCAGGGACAATGATAGTGGCAGGGAATGGGCAGTCCCCAAAGGTGGCCAGGGCCAATGGAGACGGGAGGAGCTCAAACAGGACAGGAAAACAATGGGGCTCAGGCTATGGTTCCAGAAGCCCTGAGTATGTAGCAGGGTTAAGCTGGGCTGAAGATATTGCCAGAAAGGTATTAGGGGCCAGAGGCAAAGGCCCTTGAATGCCAGGCCAAGGAGCTGGACTTCATCCTGGAGGTAGGAAAGGTTTTAAGGAGGAAATGTCCTGGTCCCACCTAGTGCCTCTCAGGTGACAGAGGAGATAGGTACAGCAATACCTGATACCTTGTTCCAGAGTGTTCTGTGCCTGTTCTAACTAGGCATGCCTTTCCCACCTGGATTCCTTAAGCTGTTCTTGGGGTTACCCTGATTCAGTGTTAACGCCTGTGAGGGTGGCTAAATAGCACAGCTGTCCTTACGTCCTCAGGCCACACTGACACCAGTCTTCACAGGGAGGCTTATGAGGGGCTGCCTGGTGGGGTGTCAGGTGCCTTTACAGCAGGTAAGCCCCAGCCCTCCTGCTCTGTTACAGGAATCAGCCTTCTCATTCCCCCAGATGCCATACCCCGAGGGAAGATCTACGAGATCTACCTCACTCTGCACAAGCCAGAAGATGTGAGGTGTGGATGTGGGCCCTGCCACTGGGGCTGGGAGGGCCTGCCTGCTGCCTTTAGTCTCAGGGTGCCCTTTGCCCACTTATTATTGGGCCTGGTCTGGGCTGGCAGGGGAAGAGTCACTCCTAAACCCCACCTGGCCTTGCAGCCCTTGACCTGGGGTACTGCTGCCCTGCCATCTGCCCAGCCCCACTCTCATTTCTAGGGACAGACCACTGACACCTTTCCCTCCCTACCTGTATTTCCCCACTTGAGGTTGCCCCTAGCCGGCTGTCAGACCCTGTTGAGTCCCATCGTTAGCTGTGGGCCACCTGGAGTCCTGCTCACCCGGCCTGTCATCCTCGCCATGGACCATTGTGGGGAGCCCAGCCCTGAGAGCTGGAGCCTGCGCCTCAAAAAGCAGTCATGCGAAGGCAGCTGGGAGGTGAGCAGGGAGCAGTCCCCAAACCCTGGCTTCAGAGGGATTGTGGGTCTGCCCTGGCCCTCAGCAGCTGGGTGGCCCTGAGCCAACCCACCCCCTCCCCAGTCTCTGGCCACTTCTCAGAGCTGCAGTGGCCCATGGGCTCCAAGGCTGAGCAGAACCAACCCACTGGGCCCACCCACAGGACGTGCTGCACCTGGGTGAGGAGGCACCCTCCCACCTCTACTATTGCCAGCTGGAGGCTGGTGCCTGCTATGTCTTCACCGAGCAGCTGGGCCGCTTCGCCCTGGTGGGAGAGGCCCTCAGTGTGGCCGCAGCCAAGCGCCTCAAGCTGCTTCTGTTTGCCCCTCTGGCCTGCACCTCCCTCGAGTATAACATCCGAGTCTACTGCCTGCATGATACCCATGATGCACTCAAGGTACCATCCACCCCTTACACCTGCAATGGGGAGGCTGCACCTGGCCCTGTGGGCTGACAGCCCCCACCTGGCATGGAGGCCCTCCTGCCTGGGGGTAGTGGGGAGGGACCCAGGCTGACCACCTGGCACACTGCAGGAGGTGGTGCAGCTGGAGAAGCAGCTGGGGGGACAGCTGATCCAGGAACCTCGCATCCTGCACTTCAAGGACAGTTATCACAACCTGCGCCTGTCCATCCACGATGTGCCCAGCTCCCTATGGAAGAGCAAGCTCCTTGTCAGTTACCAGGTGAGGGCCAGACCCACAGCCAGTGCTTGAGGTGCCAGGAGCTGGGCACACCTGATGCCTCCTCTCCACCCCCCCAGGAGATCCCCTTCTATCACATCTGGAATGGCACACAGCAGTACCTGCACTGCACCTTTACCCTGGAGCGTGTCAGCCCCAGCACTAGTGACCTGGCCTGCAAGGTGTGGGTGTGGCAGGTGGAAGGTGATGGGCAGAGCTTCAACATCAACTTCAACATCACTAAGGTGGATGGCAGGGGCTGAAGCACTACCATGACGTACTCCCACCAGTGACCCCTCAGAAATGCCCTACCCTCCCACCTGTCCCCAAGCCTACTTCCTCCATTCTTGTAGGGAGGGAGGTACAGATTTAAACAGGACTTGGAGAGGGGAGGGGAAGAGTATGTGGGAGCGGAAGGAGAGGACCCTGGAGGAACTTTGTCCTGGGCCCTATGGGTTGAATACCTCTGGCAGGCAGCATTGAGGGGAAGGACAGTTCTGGCAGTGGGAACTGAGAAGGGAGGATGAAAGGGGCAGTAAGAGGAGAGCACCAGTGCTGAATGGTTAGCAGAGGTTGTGCAGAGTCACTTGGGGTGGGAGAGAGGTACAAGACCAGAAGGGTCCTCTGCTCACTGGCTGTGTAGTTGGGGCAGGTCACTGCACCTCTGGGCCCCACTGGGTGGGGTCTTGGCACATGGGGGTGCCCAGGAAGTGCCAGTCCCCATACCTCCTCCATGCTCTAGGGTGGTCTGAGAGCTTCCCTAGCAGGAGGTGGCAGTGGGCAAGTTCTAACAGTTACCTTCACCCTTCTCACCCTAGGACACAAGGTTTGCTGAGCTGTTGGCTCTGGAGAGTGAAGGGGGGGTCCCAGCCCTGGTGGGCCCCAGTGCCTTCAAGATCCCCTTCCTCATTCGGCAGAAGATCATTTCCAGCCTGGACCCACCCTGTAGCCGGGGTGCTGACTGGCGGACTCTGGCCCAGAAACTCCACCTGGACAGGTATGTAGGAAATGAACCAAGGTACTGCGAAGGCCACATATAGTCCTGAGCTGGTAGGGAGTAGGGTGGACAGGAAGCCCACGGGGCCTGTGCCTCATCCACTAGCAGCTGAGACAGTCAGTAAGTCTGGGTGGGGGAGGCCCTCCCTGGGGTGGGCCTGGGGATAGGAGGCGGTAATTGTGGTGAGGCCAGGCTGCTGATGGACTACCCCTCCCCTCCACAGCCATCTCAGCTTCTTTGCCTCCAAGCCCAGCCCTACGGCCATGATCCTCAACCTGTGGGAGGCTCGGCACTTCCCCAACGGCAACCTCAGCCAGCTGGCTGCAGCTGTGGCCGGACTGGGCCAGCCCGATGCTGGCCTCTTCACAGTGTCAGAAGCCGAGTGCTGAGGCCAGCCAGGCCAAACGCCTACACTCTCACCAGCTTTGGCACCCGCCAGGGACAGGCAGAAGCCAGACAGGGGCCCTTCCCCCAAACTGGGAAGAGCTGCTTGGACAGGCCCCATCCGGCTGAAGTTGTCCCTTAACACTGGTCCTTCAGACCCTGCCCAACACCCACCCCTCCATGGCCTGCCTGACCAGGCTGGCAGTGCCACCTGTTCACACTCTGCTCCAGCGCCCAGGGCAGACAGTGCCTGGAGCCTGGGCCAGGCCCAGCCCATCTGTATGTGTGTATGTGTGTGTGATGCTACCTCTCCTCCTGCCCCCACCAGGGCCCCGCATACACACAGGCATGCATGCACACACTGGGCTTAGGACATGGGCCCCAGAGCTCTTGCCTGAGGTGGACCTTATGCAAACATTTTTGTGCCTGCTGGGTAGGGCACATCTGAGGGGCCTGGCTCCAAGTCTGCAGGGCCAAGGGCCACAGCCGGACAGGGGGTGGCCCCTGGATTCAGGCACATGACCACCACACGAGCATACGCCCATACATGTCTCGTGTGCTCATCTCACATGCATCCCCCTTCCGGGTCATGCAGACACCCCACCACTACCACATACACATCTCATGCTGTACACCTGGAGGCTGCTCACGTCTCTCACGCCCGGTGTCGGTGCACATCTGCCTCTCACATGCTGCCCTCTCCCACCCACCCAGGGACACCCAATGGCTCCTTCCTGACCTTCCCCTCTTCCCCTATCCTCGAGGTGCCCTGCCCGGCGGGGCGTGTGAATATGCAATGGGAGTCTTGGGCTGTACAATGGCGAGTGTGTGTGCTGTGGCATGCCCGTTCCTGAGGCTGGCTGGTGCCCCTGTGCAGGGCCTGTCATGTGAAGCTCGTGTCCTGACTCTGTCTTAAGTGCATTCACGCACTTACACTTGGCCTTATGTACACAGCCTTGCCCGGCCGCCGGGGCACGTAGGGATTTTATCGGACGTGAATGTAAATAAATTATATATATATATTGCTAACCTGAGTGCTCCTTCTTTCAGGGAAAGCCAGGGGGTAAAGCCAGATAGCCACAGAGTATTCACACATGGGCTGTCCTGGGAGTCCTGAGTGACTGGGCTTGCCTGGGGAACAAGTGGGCTCACACCCTGCTCCAGCAAGGCTAGGGCTGAGAAGTCCTGAGAACTTGCAGAGACTTCCTCAGACACGGATCTTCTGGGCAAGGCGGCAGGCAACAGCAGTGACCAAGGCTGCACCTTTGCCAGATCCATCCTCTGACTGCAGGAAAGTGACTGCACAGCGAGGGGCCAACTCCCGCACTGTGGCAGCTACCAGGCTGGAAAAACTGTGAGAGAGCAGCCAAGGTAAGCCTAAGCCAGCCAGACCCCATCTGGCCCCGCCTCCCTCCCCAACTCCTGCACCCAGACTCACTGGGGATGCAGCTTATAGAGGGTTCCATCTACCCCCACAGACACCGTCAGCTCTTCCAGGCCCCGATTCTCCCGGATCCTCTCCACCACAGCAGCCACACCTGCTCCACAGAGCTGGGCAGCCCGCTGGGACACAGCCTGGCACACCTCTAGGACCATCTGGGCATCATCTGAGGTTAGGGGCAGTCCCAGATCCTCCAGGATAGCTCGGACCTGCCGCAGGGCCAGGCTGTCGCTGGGGTCCAAGAAGGAATAGTGTATAGGGAGGCAGGATTCTGCATTAGCTCTCCCCACCCTTGTGACTTCTCCCACTTTATCCTCCAGAGCAGACACCCACCCGCTTGCTGCCACCACCCAGCATTCCCCCCATAGTGGACAAAGATTCCTTTGGCGGTGGGAAGTCAACGTAGGCCTCAGGCACCTTTCAATCTCAGAGAGGAACTTGGTCTTAAAGATGTCCCTGGTCTGAAGGCACTGGATCTGCTGGCCCCGGAAGAGAACTCCAAGGCTGGTTAAATGTAAGAGGATATGGCGGACAATCTCCCCCAGGTACATGCCACTGATCATTTTCTCAAACCTGCATGAACATGTGTGTGTGTACAGGGCAGGAAACCCCCACCAGCCACTGCCAGCCACAATTGCCTGGACCCCAGTCCATACCTCTGCTTGCCAGGATTGATGGACATTTGGTCTACACTTGCGTCAAAGCGGGTGCTGAGCATGCCCAGTGAGCCATCATCCCCAAAGGCACCCCACTCCATGTTAATGCACATGTGGCCTGAGTCCCCAGCCACGCCTGCCACATTCCGGAGCTCCTCCATGTAGCAAGCATTAGTGCCAGTTCCTGCAGAGAGGCCAGATGGACAGGGAGCCATTTATTAATGCAGACAGGGCCCCTCTGAGCCCTTCCCGCACCAAGATGGTACAAATTGGACTCAATCCCCACCTCTTCATCTCCCCAGCTCACAATCTGACTTTGGTCCTGGTTCTCCTTCCTTCCTTACATTCCTTGTGCAGACCCTGCCAGCACCAAGCCCTAGAGATCTCCTCTCCTTCCCTTACCAATGCCACCTCTTTATGGGGGCATAGAGAGAAATCAAACATGAGGAGCTCCACGTGGCCAGAAGATGGGCAATGAACAGCCAACTCTGATAATGCCTCTGTGTGCCCAAACAGAAGCACAAAAGAGAGCCTCACGGAACCTCAGAACAGAGGGTGAGTCCTGCACATCGGGTCAGGAAAAGCTACAGAGAGGAAGTGATATTTAAGTTGGGTTTTGAAGCCAAGAAGCACAGAAATGGAAAAGGCATTCCAGGCAGAGGACACATCCTGGGTAAAAGTCTTTCCTTCCTCTCCCCAACACATTTTCAGCTCTAGGCAGGTGAGCTCTTTGTTGGCCCCACCTGGAATTCTTCCATCCAGTTGTTAATTCATTTAACAACCTGGGTATACCTCCTCTCCCGAGTGCCTAGCTATGCCAGCCACTATGGATTCAAGAAAGTCCCCATATCATGAGAGGCTGCCACAAGGCCTTGTGTTCTAAGGGACCACTGCCCAAGGGGCTATAGGAACCCTCCTCCCCTGCACAGCCAAATCTTTTCTTTCAAATCCCACTCATCTTGGGACTGTTTCTTTCTGATGTTGGCCTTTTTGCCACCATGCACAGTCAAGTCAGCCCTCCCTGACTGCCACCTGCTGTTCTGGGCTTAACCCTCACTCAGCGGTCAGTTCTGAGAGAGCAGAGATTTCCTCTGCTTTTATGTGTCCTCCTATCCCTTTGCCCAGCTCCTTCTGGTCACTGGGTGGATGCTAAATAAAGACTTAGAATATTGGACTATATGGCTCGGCGCCTGTGGCTCAAGTTTCTAAGGCACCAGCCATGTACACCCAAGGTGGCAGGTTCGAATCCAGCCCAGGCCCGCCAAACAACAATGATGGCTGCAACCAAAAAATAGCCGGGCATTGTGGTGGGTGCCTGTGGTCCCAGCTACTTGGGAGGCAGAGGCAGGAGACTCGCTTGAGCCCAGGAGTTGGAGGTTGCTGTGAGC